AAAGGAGACTGCGACCATACCCGAGGCCACAACATCTTGGTCTTCACATCTTCAAGAGGACATTCAATTGATTGATGCATGGCCTAATAGTGGATTCACCCACAGGCGAATAAGTGATTTTGACATTTTCGTTGGTTTTGGCTACGCTCCTCCCCTTCAGTATGCAGCATCTTCTGCGTAACTAACTTGTCTGGTCAACTGTGGGCCAACGCTTATTTATACACCGGCAACACTCCAGAACGACATAATCTGCAGATTTCCTACTGATCATTACTTTAGAAAGCATGATCTACCCTCTCAGTGGTTGTCGGACTAGGCATCCGAATTGACCTTTTGGTGTCTCCGTTTACCATAAGCTATTCTGTACACTATAAGCGTGATGTCGGGCAGGCTTTTTTTGCTTCACTTCACGGATACGTTGATTATGCTATCTCTCCAAATGCTATTTTTTAGTGCCAACTGCAAATTCTTAAATTGGCATCATCTCTTGCTTGTTCACCCTCTTTCTATTCATAAGAAATCTCTTAAGGAATAGCTTTTAGCCCACACATCAGCCTCATACTTGACCCTGAGACCTCGAATGTTACTGCTAAAGGTGAGGCATAGATGGGCTTTGTATGCCAAGTAGTGCTGGATCAACGAGGCAGTCTTGAGGCTCTCTTCTATCAGAACTAGTTCAGCGTAGCTTTCGTGTAGCTAGTTCACATACGCTTTGTCCGCGCTGCTCTAGTGCAGTCTTCGTAAAAGTTGACAGCTACTCTTTGGTGGGCTGAAGATTATGAGTCTAGTTGAAAGAACTCATTGAATTACGCAATTTGAGGCTTTTTAAGGTCCACTTTGGCTGGGCACTAGGCTCATCTATGTTCGATTAGCCCTTTGAGTAACTTCATTTTGATGTGGTAAGACATTCTGCCATTAAGCTACTGACTCCAGATGGAACCAGGCTTTGTTGGATGAGGATGTGTCGAGCACCTCTCCTTTTCACATGATTTTGTTCAGACTTGTCTGTCCAGGTTGTAGCGGACTTTCGGGTGCCACACTGGCCTGGATAAGTCCCCAATGAATAAAAAACTACAGTTTTGTGGGACCTTAAACAATCCAGACGCTATCTAGTCTCATTCTCTTGAAGACTATTAGGTTGTAACTGAGGCCGTTAGATTCTCGGGTATCATGTAATCTGCCGGTTGGTACGCTTTGAAGATGTATGAGGGCACTGTCAATTTGCCATCCAACGATTTGTAGAGATGGACCATTTCAGGTTTCGACGGGTTCTGGGCGTTCTTGTGCTATCACTTCTTCATTTTAGTTGGAGTTGCTGATCCTGCGTTGAACTTTACCGAAACTTCTGGTGTTCAAGAGGGGCCTATCACGATCTTGCTTCACCAACCTCTTCTCAAGACTACGTGACTTCACTCCTTCACTGAGCTCTCTTCGTTAAATGGATTCCATTCCGGTAGAATCACTTCACATCATCAGGAAGTTTGAGCGAATCGATATCTCCATGTCAATGTAATTCAGTAGTCTTAGAAATCAAGCTCTACTCCATCCTCGAATTTTAGGTTCTGTGCTCATTGCAGCAACGAGATATTTATTTCTGCAGTTTCCAAGGCAAATCAAACTCCTCAAAAATAAAAATAATCAAAGATATGAAGACCACGATGTTGTGACACCCGGTATGGTCGCAGCCTCTTTACAATTTATAGAAGTGAGTTGACCTCGCTGTCGCAACTCGGTCTTGTTGTCAGGGCGAATTAGTAGAACGCATCTTGTCCGAAGTCCTCTGCCATAGTAGTTGTCATAATTTCCAGCATCAGACCGTGGACTTGGTACATTCTCAGACGCTTCGCCGGCATCGTAGTCGGCATCATCAATAAGTGCTGCCATTCTCCGCACCAAGAGGCAAGTGAAGTCAATCCCTAGACTATCGTTCTGTCGAAAACGGTTACACTATCGCTCCTCTTTCTTGATACCGAAAGATCAGAATTAGCGGAACACATCGCACAGATTGGACACGAGATAAATTGGAAGGCAACAGAAAGAAGGGCCTCATACGGTGACAACACAAGGAAGCGGAAGATTAGGCAAGCCATTGATATCCTCGGGAAGAAAGATCTAATGAACAGGAGATTGAAGGAAGGTAGAATTAGCGATAATTTTGTCTACTGTTTAAGCAAACTCGGAGAAAACAAGAATACAGCAAGATCAGCAAAAAGGAGACGTCTCGATCAAGGATCTATCGCTAACCGGAGTAAAAGAGAACACGATGAGAAGAGGGAGGGTGCGGGTTTTTTCGGAAATCAAGCGTAGACGTTGTCAGCGTGTGATGTCTGTTCGAAAAAAACAGCACAACTTTCGGGGCCTGGTGATCAGGAAATTAGGCGGACGGATAAGCACAATCGTCACTTGAACCACTTGTGATGCCGCATGCGATCAGAGATTGGCGTCCACAGTTTGATCAGGTAACATGGGTTTAATGAAGGAGACGACCCGTGAAAGGAATACCTGATTTCTGCAAGCATGGCAATCACAGGTATGAAGACCAAGATGGTGTGGCCTTTTGTGTGGTCGCAGTCTCCTTTCGTTGTATAGTGGTT